ATAGACAGTCCAGACACTGTGTTGCAATATACACTATTTTACGCGTTTGAAATCATTTTTTCCTTTCTTATTCATAGAATCGAGATGATCAATTAGAGGGTTTTCCAACATCCAAACAACCTTTTGTAAACATGCACCTTTAATTTTACATTTTAAGGTTGCAATATTATATAAATTTTTTCCCTTTTAGAATGTATATTTACTTATTTATGGTTGATCTCAAGGTTGGGTAGGTTACATCCTTTCTAAAGTGTATTTCGCCTTAGGGAATTAAAACACACCATGCCCGAGGGAGTTAAAACACACCAGCTAAGGGTTAGGTTTTCATTTTCACCTAACGTTTAAAAAAATCGCCAACGATTTAAAAAACGTGTAGGCCCATCATCCCATTGAATTACCCAAAAAAAACAAGAAGCTAAGTAAATAATCTTTTTTTTCATGGAAACAATAGTTTGCTTTCAAAACTCCATAAGTTCAAACAAGTTTTGCATAAGATAATATTTGTCTTACAATTATTCATTGGGAAAATCAATTCTGTCATTTGCTTTCAAAAAAAATAAAAAAATATCTATTTTAATCAGTGCACAAATGGATGGTTTTAGAGCTTCTACCACTGCTGTAGTAGTAAAGGACACCAATCACGCAAAATTTCCCCCTAATATAGCAAATATTCAAGTTATTTTAGTGTGAATAATGTGTAGAGCGTGCAAAAGAATAATACTTGGGCAAAAGAATAACTCTGGAGATTTTTATTTATCTAAAATTTTGGGATCCATTTAAGTATCATCAAATGTTTAATTTCAAAGAACAAGATTTGGATTTTAAGTTCTTGAACACCTAAATCTTGCCCTTCAAAAATTGGCAGGTTCTTGTTCAATCCTTGGATGTTAAGTTTTTAGGGCCATTAAAAGTCATGTTTATTTATTTATTTATATTTATTTTTAGATTATTTAGATTGGGGGCTACATCCCCAAAATTGGGATATATAAAAAATAAACCCAACATGAGTCTAACCTTGAGGGAGCAAATATACAGTACGCTCCTGCATGAGCAACCGGTCTTTTCACTAATGTATATTCTAGGGATTGTATACTATAAAATTATTTACTTTAAGTAAGTTGCTATCACTCTTAATTATGACATATGATATCTGAAAGATTGAAGTGTACCCTGACAATTGAAAAAAATTATTTTGGACTCGATGCTCTCGACCGCCCGAATTAGAATCTAACATACAATAACAATTGTAACTGCAATGTATAAATAGTCTACATTTCTATATTTTAACTTTTTCATCATTTGGAACAATAGTAAGACAATAACTCAGCCTGAATCTTGGCCAATATGATGGTCAATGTAGCAGCACTATATTTGATTTTTAATACTCGAACTTTAATATAACTATAGTAATTCTTTTTACAAATGATTGCTGAGTCAGACTCCATTAGAATTTGATTAATCAATTTTTCTGTTGTTGAGGTTGAGAGCCGAACCAGGAATTACTTTTCTTCATCATCAATCAAATCACTATTTTCATCATTCAATTCTATTTTTCCACCAATCCAATAGATGTTCATGTTTTTAATTTTTCTTATCAATAAAAAGCATGCACACTGCGCATCCTAGGGAGCATACTTCACTTCTACTCTCTCGTTCAGAAGACTTACTTGGGAGGATTATTTTAATCTCAAATTTTGGGTGCCACTTAAGAACTACTAGATGCTTATCCTCAAAGCATTATTTTTTCAAGTGCATAGAGGGGGCAATTAGGATTTTTTTATTAAGAATAATCTATTGGTTGAAAAAGTTATCATCCTAAAAATTTAAGGTCCTAAAGTTAATACAAGGTGGATTTTTGCTTGAGGGAGTACATGAACATTCATCTTGTGGCATCAATCCATAAAGGGAAAAGTTTATATAGAGCCGAGGCTCTAAACAATCAAATTTAAACTCACCTCAAAAAGTTCAAGAAGTTGTTTTGATGCCCAAATATCTTTAAAATGATCATCTCGACATCAAGATGCATGGACATAAGAAGAAAATGGATTTCAAATTTTGGAAATAATGTATTTTGTAACGCATTTTTAGACCGTCAATTTTTAAGATTTTCAAGTTTTCATAAATATGTCAATCTACACTATTTTTGAAAAATTAAACTTTATAAATAAATATGGAAATATATTTTAAGACTATCACAAAGATTTCCACTAGTAAAACCACATTTCTCGACATGTAGGCTTTGATTTGGTCGTTTAAAGCGTAAGCTCTATACAAAGATGACTCACAGACAAAAGAGTGCATATAGCGTGCTCTCATGGGAGCATACTGTCCAAAAACTCTCTCAAGCAAATAAATAAGTCAGGACGATTTCTTGATCTAAAATTTTGGAATCTATCTTAGTCATCCAGTGATTATTTTTAAGGAAAAAAATTGGGTTTCAAGTTTTTGAACACCTGCCATTTGAAAATTCGATAGTTTCTATTCAATATTTGGTCGTTAATTTTTTGGGGGTACACAGAGTTCCTATTTAGTTTTTTTTCCCTCTAAGAATATTTGTTCGATTGTAGAGGCTACATCCCCAAAGATTGGGATTTATAACATATTTCTACCGAGAGTTTTACCTAAGGGAGCGAATGCACAATATGCTCATGCCCGAGAAGCAAATCTATTCATAGTCACATGAAATGTATGGTTATGAAGATTAAATATGAGCCTTCATTGTCAAAAAAAATAAAAAATGAAAAAAGACGCATTGAACTAATACTGTTAGGTCAGTAATTGAGTTAACAATTTCTCCAATTATTTGTAGAAAAGGTAACTTAGATGGGTGAGAAGTCAGATGCACCTATAAAATTTGCTTGGAGATGTCGTTTCGGCGTTGATAATTTTATGATGGTTTCAAAATTTAAAAAATGGTATAGATCGAGCAGATCGATAAACATTTGAAAATCTTGAAAACAAACGGTCCAGATGATTCTTTACCATATGTATGATTTTTTGAACTTGAAATTCTGTTTTTTCTTTATGTCTATTCATCTCAAGATTGGGATTATCAATTGGAAGGTTCTCCTATGTGGGAACACTCTCCACTGTAGGATTTTTGAGATGGCCTTTCCTCAGCAGTATAAGGTTGCAACCTTACACAAAGTTTTTCCAACTTAGATACATTTACCAAAAACTTGTGGGAGGAAAAAAAGAAGGAAAAAGTTTATCTAAGGATACAACCTTATAATGTAAAACTACGGATGCACCTCAAAAATCCGTTGGAAAAAGTAGTTTTAATGTTGAAAAACCCTTTGATTGATCATCTCGATATCAAGATGTATGACCATGAAAAATAAAAAGATTTTGAGTCTCAGAAATAATGGATTTTACAACATATTATCTACACCGTCCATTTTTAAGATTTATATATGTTTATAAATCTATTTGATTTTAACTATTTTTGAAATTTAAAATTTTATAATTAAATATAAAATTTGAGATAATCCTAAGAATATTTTACATCAAAATTATATACCATGATAAAATTTGAAGGTGTACCTTACCTCTACAGCTACAGATGCATACGTATGTCAACTGCACCCAAAAAAGAAACTGGTAATTTATTGAGCACAAGTAAATTTATATTCTAATTTTTCTGGCTTCTCATGTAGACGACCAGTGGCTAGAGAGATGGAGCAGAAAGAGAGAAATGAACATGGTAGCGTGCGGCCAACCTTCATATTGTAAAATGGGAAAGCTTTCTATGTTTCCCCTACAACATAGAAGTTCTATCCTTCCCCTACCATCCAGCTGTCCATTTTTTATCAAGAGAGCCACTCACCATTTGATCTTAGATCCGACGTCTCAAAGGATTTTATTTTTAGTTTTGTTAATACACATTTTCAGAATATGAAATTTGGTACGTGCAATCTTCCCATTGGGGCGCATCTATAAAAAATATTAACAATAATTTTTCGATAAAAAAATAATGACCAAAATACCTCTTAAAACTTTCAAGAGTATTTGGTCATTTTATTTTATTGAAAATATTTTTTTTTTATATTTTTCGTTAGTACGAGTTTAATAGAGGAATGGACTTTCAAAATTTGGTGTCAAAATAATTCATAGAAAAAAATTAAAAATAAAATAGTGTAGAGACATGACATTGTGATTGGGGCATCTTAGCCCTCCATTAAAAATGGATGGTTGGATAAAGGGGAGGATAGATCTTTTATGTTGTAGGGAGACATAGAAAGCTTTCCCAAGTAAAAATGGGGCCTAGGCAATAAATATATTTTTAAATATAGTTTGACCCCTACTGCCAGAGAATATAAATTTTATTTGGAGGCATGGCAATAATATATTTTTAAATATAGTTTGATCCTTACCGTCAGATACTATAAAATTTTACTTGGGGGCTTGGCAATAAATATATTTTTAAATATAGTTTGTTCCTTTACTATCAGAGAATATAAAATTTCACTTGGGGGCGTAGCAATAAATATATTTTTAAATATAGTTTGATCCTCACTGTCAGAGAACATAAAATTTTACTTGGGGGCTTGACAATAAATATATTTTTAAATATAGTTCAATTTTTACTGACAGAGAATATAAAATTTCACTTGGGGGCTTAGCAATAAATATAGTTTTTAAATATAGTTTGATCCTTACTGTAAGAGAACATAAAATTTTACTTGGGGGCTTAGCAATAAATATATTCATCATGAATATGAATCTGGAGATCATGAAGATCATGAATATGAATATGAAAATCATGGAGATAATGAATATGAAATCTTTAACATGGAGATCATGAATATGAATCTGAACAGCCAACTATGGAGATCATGAATATGAATCTGAACAGCCAACTGTAGAAATTCGGTCCAGCCCGCATGAAACAATAGTTCGGGAGACATTCGTGGTTAGACGGAATGAAGAGAGAGAAAGAAAGATGGTTAGAGAGAGAGAGAGTAATAATTATTTGTATCGTCATTTCTATCTGTTGACTCACCTGGTATTGCCACCTACCACAAGCGACGTTCCCTCCACCAAACCCACTTTTTTTCAAAGTATTCTTCTCCTTCTCTCATCGTATTCTTAGTCCTCTATTTCTCCCCTCTGAAACTACTTTTCTCTCTCTACCCATCAGAGTTCCAAGGCTCTCTCTCTACCCATCAGAGTTCCAAGGCTCTCTCTCTACCCATCAAAGCTCCAAGCCTCCTCTTGATCAAGAATGGATCTTAAGCTATTGCTTCCATCTCCAAGCATCCAAACCACCCATCTTCCCAAACTATTCAAGTCCAACTGCTTTTGGGTTTCTCAAAATAGGCAAAAACCATGGTCTTGTTTCAAAGTTTCAGCTTCTGCAACAAATCAGGTTCAGCCCATTGGAGCATATGCAACTTCTCCTTACAGGTACTTCAGCATTTTGATCGGGCATTCAGTGCAGTTTTTCAAATTGGATCATGGGTTTCATTCTCCTTGTTGGGGCTGTTTTTGTAATTCAATTTGGGTTTTTACTTTTCTTGCATCCAGCAAATCTTCATTTCTCGGCATGATCTCTCCAAAACTGCAAAAATGAGAGCATTTTTAATTTGGGTTTTCTTTCTTAGTTCATAAAAATCTCAGGGGATAGAGCAAAAGCACAAAATAAAAATGAATCATGAACTTATGATCTCCATGGTCATTACCTTCTCTCTCTCTCTCTCTTCCTCTCATTATCTGTATGAAACTGCAAAAATGGAAGCAATTTGACTTTGGGTTTTCTCTCTCTGTTCATAAAAGCTCAGAGGGAGAGAGCAAAGGCCAAAATCAAATCGAATAATAAACTCACAGAGCCATTAGCCCCCTATCTCTGTCTCATTTTGTGCCTTCTCTATATTTCATTATAGGTTGGAGAAGAAGAAAAGGGTAGATGAGAGTGAAATCCTGACTCTTGACAATATAAGGCACTCTTTGATCAGACAAGAGGATAGCATAATTTTCAGCCTTCTTGAGAGGGCTCAGTATCGCTATAATGCAGAGACTTACAATCCTAGAGCCTTCTCCATTGATGGGTTTCAAGGCTCTCTGGTTGAGTACATGGTCAGAGAGACTGAAAGGCTTCATGCACAGGTAAAACTGAAAGAAAATGTGAATTTGTTCAAATTCGTTTTAGCTTTGCTGTTTTATTGATCAGTTTCATGATTCCAATTGATCAGATGGGAAGATACAAGAGCCCAGATGAGCATCCCTTCTTTACAGAGGATTTGCCTGATCCTCTGTTGCCTCCTCTGCAGTACCCACAGGTATCTCTCTCTCTCTCTCTCTCTCTCACACACACACACACAACAAACACTCTTTTCAATTATTCAGATCTTAAGCCATAACATCTATTAGCTAGCAAATATTTTCATTGGAGAACTGTATCAGACATGATTGAGAGAGAGAGAGAGAGAGAGAGAGAGAGAGAGAGAGAGCAGCAGCAGCAGCAGCAACTTATTGTTGAGTCCCCTTAATGAAATGTGGGTTCCTAATTTTTCTATCAGGTTTTGCACCCAGCTGCTGATTCCATTAATATAAACAAAAAGATCTGGACTATGTATTTCACTGATCTTCTTCCTAGACTGGTCAAGCAGGGAGAGGATGGAAATTTGGGATCCGCCGCAGTTTGTGATACAATTTGCTTGCAGGTATTCACTCTTTTTCTCTGAATCACTTATCCTTTTCTTTTATGGGTTGTTTTATCTATTTAAGTATTTATTTAATTTTGTTTATTTTATTTTTACTTGTGATAATATTTGCCTTTTTTTTTTTTTGTTAAGTTTATTGTATTCCTGGTAATGTTTTCTTCCTCTCATACTTATTTTTGTAGATTTAATTGTTGTGTTGTACAATCATTTGATTTTTACCTTTCAATCTGTTATTTTCTTTCTTCATTTGTAGTTCTTTTCTTTTGGCTACTGATGACGGTTTTCTTAAGTTACTCATTTCCTCTCATTGTCTTCTTCCTCTTCTCATTCTTATTTTTGCAGATCTAATTTCTGCATTGCACAAGTCTCTTAGTTTTGCTCTCTCTATCTTTTCTCTTTTCTTTTGTGGCCCCTGTTTTCTTACTAGTGACCCAATATGCAATTGGTACTCTTTTCCTCTAAATGTCTGTACTACTTCTTCCCATTCATATTTTTTGTAGGTTTGATATTTTGTATTGTAAAATTCTTTCACTAAATCTCCATTTCAGTTTTTTTATTTCCAGAAACTTATTTCCAAGTCAGTAGTAGCATGCAACTAAAAATGGCCCGGCGACATGTTCGAAGAACAGAATGTAACGATAGCAAGGTGACACGTTCTGATAATAAACTGTAAAAGTGGCACGGCGATACGATTGAAAAATAGGTCATAATAATAAAAAAACGACACGTTCGAACAACGAACTACAAAGTGGCATGGCAATACGTTCGAATGATAAGTTCTACAAATAGCAAGGTGAAACGTTCGAACTTCGAACAATAAATTGTAAAAATGGTGGCGAATAACAAGTTTTATTATGTATAAGCAGCCAAACATAGCAATTGCCAACTGGAGCTAGGAAAATGGAGGGCTTATGATTTTCGACTACAAACAAAGTACCTGTCACAGGGCTCAGATTTGAAAATTTGCTAAAATACATTTGTTCTCATTTCTAGAATGCTGAATGAATTAAAATAAGCTGATTTAGGGGAGCACCCTTAACTGATTCAAGGGAGCATACTTATCTCTTATGCCAGGCTAATTATCTTGGGGTTTAGTGTCCAGTAACATCATGCCTTAGTCCTTGCAATAAGTAGAATTGCCGCCTCTTTTTCATGTTCTTTTCTTTTTTTCTTGGAGAGAGAGAGTCCATGCCATCTAACCACTGTGTGGCTCCTTACTACTCCCCTTCTTGCAGGCACTCTCTAAGAGAATGCACTATGGCAAGTTCGTCGCAGAGGCAAAATTCAAGGATGCCCCTATCGTCTACGAGTCTGCAATCCGAGCAAAAGTACTCCATTTCTCTTCAAACATCTCATTCCCCTCTCTCTCTCTCTCTCTCAAAATTATTTTCCTTTCCTCGAACTTTAATAAATATTTGATCATGAATTTCACAGGATGGTGACCTATTGCTCCATCTTTTAACTTATGAGAAGGTTGAGAAAGCAGTCAAGGAGAGGGTGGAGGAGAAGGCAAAGATTTATGGGCAAGAGGTTGAGCCAAGCAAGAAGCAATTATGGGTTAATGGTGAGAAAGATGAAAATGAATCAAATCGCAAAATAGACCCAACCTTGGTTGCTTCCCTTTATGAGGACTGGATAATGCCTTTAACTAAGGAAGTTCAGGTCTTATACCTGCTTAGAAGGCTGGACTAAGCACTAAGCATTAAAAAAAAAAAGGAAGTTCTAAACAAGAGAAGTTGGCAGTTCTAGTACAGTTGTGAGTGATTTCTTAGTTAAACTTCAAATGCTTTGAAGCTATAGAGTGTTTTCCTAATGCAAGAGTGAATTTCAAGGAGTGCTGTTCAATGTAAATAAATAAAGGTGTTCATATGCATGCTCCTTTTTCTTTATGAATAAATACCCCTTTTTACTGAAAACACGCACACACTCTCTCTGTAAACCTCAATCCTGGGGAGACAGATTCTAAATATTCAGACCAGATAAAATGCCATATGAAAATAGAGTGGTAAATCATGAAGAAGGGAATTCAATGCACACTGGTAAAAAATTTCCATGACTTTGTTTCAGCACTGTACATAATCATTAAGGAAAAAGATATTAAGGTATTTTGAAGCTTTTTCCTCAATGGAAGGGTTAAATACCATTTTCTTTCCACCATTTTTGACATGTATAACTTTTTGGCTACACATATGGGGAAGAATGAAAGCGCACAGATGAGGTTTGAAACCAAGATGTCTCCCATTAAGTTTACAAGGTCTACCCATTGTGCACCGACTCAGTAATTTTCTATTGCCTTTTTTTGTCTTGGATCAATTAGAGCCCATTTTATTTTGGATAAAATGCCGGATTAACTTGACACTTTTAACAAAAATAGGCATTTTTTTTTCATTAACAAGTATTATTAGATATGGACTTAATAAAAAAAGTTTATATAAGATGACCACCTCACGTGTAAAGGTTGGGCTGGTAATTTATATTGTCTATTTCAATTAGGCGGCAGATTTGACAATGTCTGAAAGGACATGTGAAATTTATGCGGTCCCACTAATCTGGATGGTCCGCCATTTGCAAACCACCACACTTTAAAGTACTTCGGATTTTTTAATTATATAGATGGTCAAAGAGTATTTTATATTATGAACCAATGATTTAAAAAGCGCGGACTTGGGCACCTTAAAAACCAATTCAGATTAGTGAATCAATAGTTCAGATCGCCATTTTATTGTGCAGAAAAAACAATGAACCTGCGAAAAAATAGTGAACCGGCCAAAAACCGTGAATCGGTAATCCAAATCTCCATTTTACTTTGTGGGACCTTTGGTTTTTTTCTGGACTCGACCTTTTTCCTATGTACAGGTTGAATTGGATCAGGGTGATCAATTCCCATATCGAAGCAGGCGAATCTATGCCAACCCGATATTTTTTTAAAAAATCACTACTATGAACCATATAAATTAAATTTTCATACTAGGAATGAGCTCATGGTTGTATCGTCAAGATGATAGGGCTCCACAATATAATGTCTTGAGTTTCATTTCTGTCATGGATAGACTATTACGACGTAGAATTAAACAGTAACGAAAAAAAGTGGCTCTGAACATGTTATTTGTGGAATCCACCCTTTTAATTTGTCATACCCTCACCGCTTGTAACTATTAATATAGGTCATGAGCTTTTGAAATTTTTAAAAATCAAAACCGTTCAAATATTATTTTGTTAAAAGTTTCTGCCTCCTTGAAACGTAGATACTTCAATTAATCTTTCCACCAATATAATCTCCCGCTCCACCCAACATCAAAGACCAGTAATCTCTCTATTTTTTATTTTTGGAAACACAAATATATCAGGATATTTAAAAGGGTGCGGTTAATATAGAGCGAGGCTCCAAACAATCAAATTAGAGTATACCTTCAAATAGTATCCAGAAATGTGGTTTAAATATTGAAAATAATTGTGATGGCCTTAAAATATAATTTTATATTTATTTATAGAGTTAAAGCTTAAAAAATAGTGAAGACCGACATATCTATGAAAACTTGAAAATCTTGAAAATTGATGATAAAAAAATACATTAGAAAATATACTATTTTCCAAGACTGCAATTCATTTTTTTCTCATGTCCATGCATCTGGATGTTGAGATGATCAATTTGTAGATATTTGGGCATCAAAACAACCTCTTCTAATGAATTTTTTAAGATAGGCTCAAATTTGATTGTTTAGAGCCTCAGCTCTATAAAAACTTTTCCCTATTTAAAATTTTATTTCAATGCCACCTTTTCTATTTATTTTATTTTATTTCCAAAATATTCTTTGGTAACCTCTGTTTTGAATCGAGTCGAATATGGTTTTCTTATCTAAAAAAGTTATTCATAAATGAGAGTACCGAACATGTTCATTCTTTTAAAGGCTTTGATAAAGTTTACGTTCATTACCCAACTATCGTTTTTTGTAGTGAGAGTATTGAACTAAATGACATTTTAGAAAAGAGGCAAATCGAAGGAAAAATGAGATGAAAATAAAAATCAAGATTTTTAAGATATTTTTTCAATATCTCTGAAAAATACATATATTTATGTTAATTTCCCTAGTTTTTTCTATAAAAAATTCATCTCTCACAATCAAACTTTATAAGAAAATGGTTTAATAGGGCTGCATCCCTTTTCAAAATAAGCAAAGCATCACCACATAACTCATTGAATATTGTAATTCAAGTTTTAAAGACCTTTATATCAATCATCTTGGCTTAAAACATTACGGTTATGAAAAAATTTAAAATTTTCAAACTCTAAAAATAGTTTGTATATTGTAACAAATTATCCCAACCATCCATTTTATCCTAAAAATAAGTGTTCATAGATTCGCAAGATTCTTATATTTTTTTAGCTTCAAATTATATTGTCGTATTGAAAATTAATTTCAGAGCTATCATAAGGACTTCTATTGCTGAAAGTGCTTTCCGAATAAGGATTTGTGATGAGGATTTATTTTGTTTTCATAAAATCTAGGCTCTATAGAACTTCATCCACCTTTAAAACTAGGGGTGGCAATGGACCCGGACGGTTCTGGGTATGGGTATGGGTTCAAAAATTGGACCCGGCGATCGGATCCAAGTCCAAATATTGACCCGAAGACTATTCGGGTTCGGGTCCATGTTGACCTAACCCCGACCCGACATGATTAGTGACATTATTATTTGACATACTATTTAAATATATTCTTATTATTTGTGGGTCGAATCCAATCGGGTCCGATAACTTCAGGTCCAAGTCTGGGTTCGGATCCTGCAAATTGGTTCTGTTTATGGGTCCGGGTCCGACCCGGCGCTGCCCGTTGCCACCCCTATTTAAAACTTGAATTTCTTTCTCCACCCCATGACTCAAAGACTTCAACTCTCTCTCTCTCTCTCTCTCTCTCTCTTTCTCCCCTCAGCCCACCACAGATATCGTCTTTCTTTCAACAAACCCATATTTAAAAGGTGTAGACTCCCAGGATCAGAACATTCCTTTTGTTTCTTTTCCTTTTTTCCATTGAATACCACTATCCAGATGCCACTGCAACAAATCACATTACTTTCACAATCCTCCTCTCTGCTCAAGAACCACACACTATAATAGTAAATGAAGAGAACACTTCAAAACCCAACAAGAGAGAGGGATCTTCTTCCATATTTCAAAATCACCAGGGGAGAGCAACCAAGAAGCCAACCACCAGAAGAAAACTCACCTGAAAAGCTCTGCTCAATCCTTTAGAGAGAGAAGATGGGGACCCATTTGGGGTTGGTGAGGGAGATGGTGATTCTTCACTTTCTCTCTCTAAGACCAGAAGAGACATCTTCATTCCTCCAAAGCAGAAGCCATTTCCACAGATAAAGTAATAGTGCCCCGTATCGTTGAGAAGGACGACGATTCGGCCACTGCTAGTGGTCAAGTTAGCAATGGCGTCTTGGGTAGAGCAGGTGTTGTATGAACTCTCATTGACCCGGAATAGGGAGTACATGCCCTTCTGGTACCTGAATGCTTCATTCCATGGCCAAATTTTGGTTGATGGAAGTTAGAGAGACAGAAAGATTCATTTCATGGATAGATTTTGATTGATGGAAGTTAGAGAGAGAGTGTGTGTTTTACACGGTGTTCAGGTACTTGCCCTTGAAGGCGAGTTGTTGTGGCGAGTACACTCGCTACCTGCGGACTCGCTCGAATACTAATGGAGGCCAAAAGTCTCCCAAAAAAAAAACTTCCAAAAAAATATAAAATATAAAAAATATAGCAAAAAGTATGCGGTTTGTATAAAGCCGAGGCTCTAAACAATTAAAATAAAACGCAACTTTAAATAGTGTAAGAGGAATGTGATTTCAATATTGGAAATCTTTGCCATAGCCTTAAAATATATTTTTATTTCTATTTATAAAGTTTAAAGCTTCAAACATAGTGTAGATCAACAAATCTATGAAAACTTGAAAATCTTGAAAATTAGGAATCCAAAAATTCATTACAAGATACACTATTTCCAAAACTTGAAATCCACTTTTTTCTTATGTCCATATATCATATTGATGTAGAGATGATCAATTTGAAGATATTTAGGCATCAAAATAACCTCTTTTAGTAAAATTTTTGAGGTGGGCTCTAATTTCTAATTTTATTATTTAGAGCCTCGGTTCCATATAAACTTCCTCCAAAGTTAAATTAAAATAAACGAATTTTAGTACAAATAAGCTTGAAAAATATAGAAATAATGGATTTAAAAAAAATTGATTTTTAGTGGAGGATATTAGAAAACCCAAAAAAATAAGAAATATAAAAAATTGGGATTATGACAAGAAAAAAACCAGCAATCTTTGTCAAATTTATACAATAATGGATTAAAAAAAAAATTGGTGTGGTTTGTATATAGCCGAGGCTTTAAACAATCAAAGTGTCAGAAATGTGGTTTCAATATCGAAAATCTTTGTGATAGCCTTAAAATATATTTTCATCTTTAATTGTAAAATTTAAATATGTAAAAATAGTGTAGATCTAGCATATCTATGAAAACTTGAAAATCTTGAAATTTGACAGTAAAAAAATGCATTATAAAATACACTATTTCCAAAACTTGAAATCCATTTTTTTCTCATGTCTATACATCTTGATATCAGGATGATCAATTTAAGGATATTTGGGCATCAAAACAACCACTTCTAATGAAAATTTTGAGGTCGGCTCTAATTAGATTGTTTAGAGCCTCGGTTCTATGTAAATACTTTTCCAAAAAAAATCTATGTATTGCGAGTTGTATAATCTCTTGGCCAAAACACCCCTCCAAAAACAAAAAAGTTAAAAATATAAGTCTAGAAATCAGGGTTTGAAAATATTCTTTTAACATGATTTTAATAGTTTTCAAGATGATTCGAGAACTTTCATATTTTTATTTTTTTAAAATATTCAAGTATAAATCAATATTTTCAAAAATCTATTTTTATAAATGTCTTTTATTATTTCAGTGTACTAATGATTTCTGTTAACTCTTTAAATTTTTAAATTTTTTACTTTTTATTTTTTTTTTATTTTTGAGTGATTTACCTATTGATTTCAAAATTTTAGATAAAATATAAAATGTTCCCTTTATGGATGGAAATTATAAATATCGCTCAACCCACTTTTTTTTAATTTTGTTTTTCAAAATTACCCTTCAATTGCACCGAATTTTGATTCTTTTTTTAGTTTTTCGTTGGAAGGGCCATGCTCAAGCTTTAAGGTTCCTACTAACAAAAAAAAAAAACTTTAAAAAAAATAATCAAAATTTGAATCGAGTGAGAGACAATTTTAGGAAAAAAAATAAAAAAAAATGGGTTAACTGATCTTTGTACTTTCTTCCTATAAATTTATAGAAGATTTTATATTTTACCTAAAATTTTAAGATCGGTACATAAATCATCTTTTTAATTTTTAAATTTTTACTTTTTCGACCTTTTTCTAAGGGTTGTGGTGGTCCAGTTACTCGAGCGGGGGCGATTTCCAAAACAGTAGCGGAACACTGAATATGAACCACCAGAAGCAAAAAGCCGGCGAATGAAAGTGCCTCAAAATGAATGAAAAGGACATGGCATAATTACCTTTCCGGCACTCAATGGGCCCGGAGAATTATTCCGGCGACTGAAAGCACCAGGAAATGAAACCAAATGAGAAGAGACAGAAACGTGATTCACAGAGAGAGATGATTTACCAGAAAATATGATAGAAAAACTTTATTCAGTTCATTAAAAAAGAGGAGAGAGAAACTTGATACACTGCAAAAGCAAGTAGTGAGAGAGACTTGATTCACTGAAAAAAGAGGTGAGAGACGCTTAGATTCATTCAAATTAAGAGAACGGGGAAACTGCATTCTCTCCCAAAGGAGAGTAGAGTGAAATTGATTCACTAAAAAAAACAGAGAGAGAAATTTGATTCAGTAAAAAAAGAAGAGAGAGAAGCTTGATTCAATAAAAAAAGAGGAGAGAAGATTCATTCAAAAAAGAAGAGAGAGAGGCTTGATTCGATAAAAAAACGATGAGAGAGAATATTCATTCAAAACAGAAGAGAGAGAAGCTTGATTCAATCGAAAGAGGAGAGAGAAACGTGATCCACTCAAAAAAAGAGGAGACAGCAACTTCATTCACTCAGAAAAGTAAGGGAGAAAAACTTTGTTTCACACGAACAAAGAAGAGAGAGAAACTTGATTCATTAAAAAACGAGGAGAGAGAAACTCACAGAGATAATCTCCGACGATGAAGCGATCATGACTCGCCCATTCAGTGTAGTTGACGCCAGGGTTCCAGAAACTGTTTCCTCCGACTTTGTGAAGAGTTGCAGAGACCAAAGAAGAAAAAGAGGAAGCAGCCATTAAAGCAACAACCAAAAGCAGAAGCAAAAACCTCTTCTTAATTCCCTCCATTTTCTCTCTCTCAATGAATCTCTTGAGCCCACAGATATAGTAATAGGAGTAGCGAGAAGATTACTGGCCTCCTTTTTATGCCATCCATTTTCTCTCTCTACGAATTTTTCCGGACATTTTTCTCTCTCTAAGCCCACATACGCTGCATGCAGTTCCAGCGCGTCTACCCTGTATTTCCGAGTGCGGCGAAATTTCGTTTTCAACAGGGCTTACGAAATTTCGGGGCGAAAACGATTTCCATTTCTGGAATACGAAGACTCGAATTATGGGATATTAGAAAACTATATTTAGTTTAGAGAAAATTTTGTAAATATTTTTTTTAGTTTCCGTTATTATCAAAATACCCAACACTTTCGATTATTATTACTGTACGTAAATATTCGTTTCAAGAGACCTAAAAGTTAGTCAATTCCAACCGTTCATTTCAAATTATTTTTTTATATTTTTTATAGGTGTTTGAGAGTGAGAAGTATAAAAGCCCCGAAGACAATTTAATGTATATAAATAAAATAAAATTGAAATACTTAGATATGCTCTTACATTATCCCAAAAAAAAATCATTTTTTATGTGATACAGAGCTCCCATTTTGCTAGACCGATCATGGATGTGCTATAATTTTTTAAAATTTATTCATTTAAGAAACATTACAATCTCATTAACAAAACTGTGGTTCAGTTTTATTTTATTTTCTATACGTTGGATTAAGCTAAAATCAAGGGCATCTGTGTTTTTCGCCCTCTTACACTTGTAAAAAATATTAAATCCTTAAATATATATATATATATATATATATACTATATATATATATATATATATATAATACTATAAGTAACCTAACCCTTAACCTACTATATTATATATACTAACTAACTAGTACT